TGATATTGTAACTACTAACTTTTCTGTATTATTTTAATGTGTATATATGCATATATATTTATTATAGATACACATATATTTATAAATACTGTACATACCTGCGTATTTATACAACCAAATTTCGATTTATCGCCTTCCTCTAAAGCAAGATTGTCTTTTTACTAACACAAAGTTTAAATGTTCTGCATGTGTGATTCAATACAAAAAAGCAGCTTTAATAAAACTGCATTTATCACTAAATCAAATGATTTTTTTTAAACGCTGAAATACCAAACAATTAGAATTGTATAAAAGTTATCGTTTAAGTACTGCAGTTACAAATATAAAACTTTTTCACTAATTTGTATTAGTGATTTCAATATCAATCCCATATATTGTAATAGTTATAAAGTCTCTCATAACCTCACTTAATGTGGCCTAAACACCACCCACACTAAGTATACAAAAGGAAACAGTTATCATTAAAATTACAAGGGAAAAGATAATAGGGGATGATGATTAAATTTGTTATATTTAGTCGAACGTTGATTTACCGTCACCATTCATTCGCTTATGAAATTGCCACGTAATGGAGTGTTGTATACTTAGCAATCATTTTTACATACTATATTTCGAGTGTTTGAATGTCAGATAATTGCATGGTTATACTAGTTTGCAATGAAAATAAAACAATACATTTAATAATTCACCTATAATGAAGGGTTTATTTAATACATGTAGTGAGGGGTCATTAACATTGGTTAGGAAGGAGCTAAATATAGGTTTGCTGTATTGTGTATGGCAAATAAAAAGCATGTAAGGAAAAATAAAATTTACCTGTACGATTCTTGATAATGATAACAAAAAAGCATTTCTCATCCCTCAGGAGCCGAGGCTATCCAAACAAAACAATGGCATAAATAATGGAATAAGTTAACCATCCAGCAATGTTAAAGTTAAAGTAATGTTGACTTGACTAAAGAAACAGAATTACAAGTGAGAAGCCATCATCGTAATCTCTCTTATCTAAAGATAAGAGAGGTGAATACGTAACACGTATTAGTCTTTTAGTCACACGTGTTACGATTATAATATTTACACCACGTGAATAGCAAAGATAGCAAAGTTACCTGTTTATCTATACCAATACAGTTTCGGGGTGGATAGTTTTAGTTTCGTTTTCTGTTTGATGATTTTTTCGTCTTCCTTTCTCACTGACTGCAGCGAAAATATATCAATAAAATCTTGTTTTTTGTAATTGTCAAGTACTGGAGCATATCAAAATCAAAAAAGGACGAAGAGTAGAGGTAATTGCAATGTTTTAATTATAATTTCTACAACGTAAGTTATCAATACTAACCATTAATAAAAGAATTAATTTCTTATTTTCTCATATTGTATTTTAATATGTAAACAAAATAAGTATTTGTGAACGAACTATTTCGAATTTTCTACTGCAAGTTATACAAACCGCATGTCATTCTATTGTACAGAACTCTCAACATTTTAGGACCATTTTATAAGCCCTTCTATCCTGTGGCCACTAAGAGGGCCACTTATATCGACCATTTTGTTTTAGGCTAGGCCGAAAATGAGTTGGAAAGTGGGGCCGACGCATTTAAAGCCCATTTCGAAAAATCCTTGTGTTTATTTCACTCTTTAGGAATCCATCCCGGGTCCTAAAGCAGTAGGCTGCCATCTTAATTAAACAGCCGTATAGCTTCGTACACACATTTTAGGACTGTAACTAAAGGTTTACTTCGATCTATAACATGAAATCTTTTTCAAATAATATATATTTTATTAATTAAATTTGTATCACCTATTTATTCAATTAATCAATGTAATTCATTCTAGCAGATAATTTATTTTGAATAACATGCATACGTTTACATTTTAGATAAGATAATATCGATATATTCAGATAAAAAAAGCACATCTTTAAAACTTTGATCTTCGTATTGAAATATGGAGGAAAGTCAGGTAAAGATAATATTATTTGTGACATAAAAAAAATACATAAAAGACTATTCTATTTATACAAGTTACATTATAGGCATTTCAATTATGTCATCAACCATAAGCTTTATTTAATCGTGCAACTAAAACAATTACTGTATAATCACAGAATTTAGCAAACATCTCAATTGTTAAACCTAATAAATAATGTTCAATATTCCTTATATGTCTATTTTATCCTCAAATTATAAAGGAAAACAAATAACAAATGATTGGATTTTGACTTATTTATTGTTTATTATTTATTGTTCCATGTTATAATAGTTCTTTATTAATAAAAACGATGTAACACCTTAAGTTCCTCTTGACTAACTGCAAGTACACGATTTTATGTTAATTATTTNATGTATAATAAAGTTGTGATTGTTGCAAGTAACATTATTTATCTAATAATTTTTTAACACTAATATTAGTTTGTGATACATAATATATTATTTTTTCTGCCATAATAACTAACTTTTTTCTGCACCCTTAAACAACCTATCGCGTACCCCTAGGGGTACGCGTACCACAGGTTGGAAATCGCTGTTTTACAATATAAAATTAAATAATTCATTACAATCAAAGTTGAAAATACATAAAAACAAGTTTATGGAAATCACGTGTCCAGTGGTAAGACAATCGATTTGATTTCATTCGAAAATATCTCCTGTTAACAATTAAACAACAAACAATTTTTTTACGTACGTTTGTTGCTTGTATGTTTTTGTAGAATGGTCAGAATGAGAGTATCAAATATTTGTATAATTGATAATTAGTCTGATTACTTTACTTATCGGTGATACAGAAATTCGCATTTGTTAGCGATTCGTATTTGTAGTTTTTCTTGATACGAAGTTTTTCGTAAGTCCGAAGTATTTAAAATGCTGAGCGAAAACTTACCAGGAAAAAAGAAAAGTGTGGATTTTAGCGAGAGATGAGGCTAGGCAAGGAGCAAAATGGATACAGGATTAACCAAGAAAATACCTTTTATCATTGTGTTTATCGTGACGAAACTACTGTTATGAATTGTCTGTATTGAGAAGAAGTATCGAACGTCACTGGTTTTTGTACGACTCAAAAAATATAATAAAATAGAATTAAGTTCTTCCGTTATATCATTCGATTCGCTTTGCTTCTTTCACTTTTTTCCTGTATGGACTATTTACAATGAGAATTTCGTGACGATCGTAACGAGGAACTTTGTGATCACGTGTTCTGCTATAAGGACTCGAATGCATAAAGTGCGATTTAGTTCCTATACATATTTCGAGCCACAAATGTGTGATGAATCTATATTTATATATATATAATCGAGATAGGTTGATAATAATATTAATAAGCGGAGAGCCCAAACAGTTAAAAGTAGAAAGTTGAAATTTGGTACACAGATAGGGTACGTCACGAAAACGCACACTAAGAAGGGATTTTTCAAAATTCCTCTTCACGGGGGAAAAAACAGGATTGAGTCTTAACCCTTCCATCAACAATGGAAGTGTTAAGTAACAATAAAAGTGTTAAGTAACGATGGAATTGTTAAGAGAAAGCGACGTGCAAGACGCAGATGCAGATTTTTCGTTTTTGCGGGAAATCGAACATATTTTTAGACCCATCTAAAAATTCTCTAATCAGTCCGGAAACAGGGGGACCCAATTCTTGCATTCTGTGAAAATGGGTAAAGTTGACTATAACGTAATAATGTTAATCTTCTCTATCGTTACTTTTGCCCGAGCAATGCCGGGCCTACCGGCTAGTAAGTGAATAAGTGTAAATTCAGAAGAGATAGGACCCTGTAGTAATGTTTAGAATAAAAGAAGAAAAATGTTCGTTAAAAAATTGTAATCATTTTATTCGTTATATAAAGGAAATTCTGAAATTATTGTTTATTTTTTTTCAGATTATCATTAATATTTTACCTTCAGTTTATAATTTTTAAATTGTATTCATATACGTAATTATTAACTATAGTCTTTTGTGTTTTGGACAGAACCAGTCGTTTGAAGATCCAAGTGATATTTATTCTTATTCATCGTCGAATAAGAATAAATAAAACTTACGTGCAGCACTTTATTTGGTGGGTATTATAGTAATCAATTTTAACAATTATGTTTATTTGTTAGTAACTAAATTCACTTTAACGTAGATAATTATCATTTTATAGTGAAATTCGAATAAGAAAAATATATAATACATGGTTACCGGCTAGCACAATAGGCTATGTGATTTAAATGATTTTCGAGGGCGCAGAGTTTAAATATTTTATTTGTTTTTGCGAAATTAGATTAATTGGCAAATGAACATTTGATATTCTGCTATGAATTGTACAGTTTCTTAAAGTTAACATTAAGTAAAAATACGATAATTTAAATTACTGTATTTAAGGTATTGTATTTTTAATTCGTGTCTACTTCACGTATGAAACTGTGCCATTTCGTATCATCTGGGTATCGTGATCACCTTGAAAATGGTACGCTGAAGTAACCAAACTTTATATGGTTATCGTTTCAATGTTTCATGTATTATACGAATTGATTCATATCTATTTAGATTATCTTACGTAAGAGTTCATCACACCAAGTGCCCACTCCGAGATCGGTCTTTGCAGTGTAAGTGGTCAAGAGGAGTTAAACCCCTGGCCCTCTGCTTGTCTCACATAAGTATCATACAAACGTGCGAGGCTTTATCTACTTTCCTAGAAAGATAACGTACGAACGGTAATTATACGACATCTTATAAACGAAAAAAGACAACTTGTGCCATTATGTTTTAATTTACTGTTTACTTAATTACGTTTTAAATGAGGCAATAGAGCGAATGGTAAATAAAATACAATATTATAAACTGATTGAACCTGTGTGCAATGCTTATCGAATTACCACTCGTTACTAAAATATATAATTATTTAAATTAGCATTTTGTATTTAAATGATGATTAAACATATAATTATTTTTCATTCGTCAAAGTTGTATTAATGTAATTTTAATATTATGGTTAGAATTGATATAAATATAATTACTTATACATGAATTGGTAAGAAATATTTAATATGAATTTAGCTGTTTCTTTAAACTGACAAAGTAGTTGAAAATAAACAATATTAAACAATTTTAGTAAATTAAGAACATTAAATTGTTTTAATTATTTACAGCTTTATCGACATTTCTCAACAACGGAAAAAAAACAACGTCACGATTGCAGTTGAACCGTTTTATTTCGAAAGAACCTTTACTCTTGATTATGTCAGATATTTCTTTGAAAATTATTGGCATTATTCCATTTACATGTCCATCATCTACTTGACGACCATCGTGATCCTTCAGCATCAAATGAAAGGTCGACCTCCTTATAACTTGAAGGTGACCTTTACGATTTGGAATGGGCTTCTGGCAATTTATAGCATCTGCAGCATTTTAAGAGGAATTCCAGTTTTGTACGAAGAATTTAAGAGATTAACATTTTATGAAACTGTATGCGATAAGAAATTGATAGAATATACACCAGTGAACTTATTCTGGTTAACAATATTTGTATTTTCTAGAGTTTGGGAATTCGGAGACACAATTTGAATAATAATAAATAAACAAAATTTCATTTTTTTTCATTGTTACTATCACGTAACATTAGTTATATCATCATGGTATGCTTTATTTTAATGAGTCAAGCTATTTAATTATTATCGTCTTCATCAGTGTTTCTCAACCTCTAACGAATCGTCGCCTCGTTCAATGTAGTATCGCCTCCTTCAGTAAAACCGTTACGTAGTATCTCCCTTTTCACTTTAAAATTTCGATGCCGAAAGCCAAGGCTAACGCCAAATTCGTACTGCATCGAATAGACAATTGACTAGTGTAATGTTATTTGTTTAATTAATGTACGATATATTGAATAAAATATCTAATTATTTTAAAAAATAAAGGTTGAATTTAACGTGGCCAACGGTAATTTAAGAATAATATAATATAATATAAATAGAACTTTTAACAAAAATAAAAACTTTGTTTTTTTAAAATATATTACAGTAGAGCGTCGGTTATCCGAATCAATTGGGACTTGGGTTGTTCGGATAACTTATTTTTGGATAACCGATTATGTACGAAAAAATAGTTTAACGTATCCGATGTTGAAATTTTTCTCTGTCGCGTGTCGCTTCGCGTTGAATTTTCGTCGATGTTAAGCCTAACAAAGACTATTGTATCGTTAAAAATTATTTTTTTATTTTGTACAAACAAAATAAATATATTGAAAATTATAAAAACAATTACAAAAAGCATACTTCAGAAGTTAATTTAGTATGAAAAACGTAAATTATTTGAGTAGCCCAAAATATAGCCAAAGATACAGCACCACAGCACTAGCGAAAATGTAAATTTGCGGACTGGAATTTTTTCGGATAACCGACTTTCGGATAAACGACGCTGTACTGTACTTTGCAAAAAATGTATTTCTTTTTATTGAAAATAAGTAACTTGATCTATAATTTATACTTTTTCACACATTATGAATTTTTGTGTATGATTCATTATTCTTATTATAAAAAAAACACCACTTAAGTTATAAAATATCAACATTTTCTAAAAGAGATAACGGGAAAATCCAAATGAATCATTTTCTATTACTCGTATTTTACAACTTCAACGCGATAAATAAATAAGTAATACTTGAAAAGATTAAGAAAAGTGTTCGTAATGGACGAATATTTAAAAATATATATTATAATAATAATAGGGCTTCTGATTTAACTACACTTAATTATACTTCCTTTCGCCATCTTATCTATTTTAACTGGAGTACAGTAATTGAGTTATTGATAAGTCGTTGAAGTTATCAGACAGAAATAGAGAGAAAAAATATAAACAAGCTTTTAAACGCATATGATAAATTATTAAATTTATTTAAAGCAGGTACTATATTCGTAAAATGTTAAATGCCAGACAAATTATAAAAGTAACAAAAATTTTTTCCCCTATTTTATCCAATCTTTATATTATTTTAAACATTTAATTCCTTACATTTCCACTTCATTAAATTTTAATCTTTATATTCATATTTGTTCCGCTTCCTCTTGCTTTATTTCCTCCTTAAACTTTAATTAATTAATGCCAGGAAAATGGCTTCACAAGACTGGTTAATTAAGAAAACCAATGACAACGTTCCTTGTATGTAAAATGAGTCTTGTATTGGCTTATTGTCCCACCCTTTTAACTACTTCCTCCTTATTGCCAGGTATTAAATAAATTATTGTGCGCCAAATCAGACAATAAAAATTACACTATCGGTACTTTCACACATTTATATTCAATAGAAAGCAACGAAAATCATGTGTAAAATACTCATGTTGGGAGCCTTATTGTTAATGTGTAAGTAATTTTTTAATTACCTCTTTCTGTTATATTAATAAACGCGTGTAAACAATTAAATTTTACTGCGAAAAAAGGCAAAGTGTGCTTAGTTTAACCTGTCAGCAAAACGGTGTATATATTCGTGTTATCATTAACAGAATAGAGAGAGAAAGTTTCATAACAGATGAGAACACAGCAGACACGAGGCGTTAGCGTATCTTATGGAATTCGCATTCATTCTTTTGTTAAAATGTTAGCCAATTGATTTTTATTTCTTGGTTTGTTTTACTAACTTGTTTCTTGAAAATTAGCCACAAATCTTCAAACGTGTTCCTATCTGGAAAATTGACAGCCAGTCAACAATTTAAGTGTTGTGGTTTCTCGATCATGCAGCAGTAAAAGCCGTAGTATAAGCATTACCATCATCCTGTTGAAGTCAATTTCATTAGCTAATCGATCGAGAGACAGGGAGGAGGCTGTCATTTAAGTCTCTACTACTCAACTGTTTTAACGCTGATTCATAAGGAACTCTCTCACTTACGCCAGTAATACTGTATTTCTGTATCTTTATTGGATACTTAACTTTCTACAATCTGTAGTTTTTTCTCTTTTAGCCATTTTGATCGAAACTTGCTTACCAATCTATTCATCCCACGGAATTGTAGCCATTGTGTGTCTTTCTGCTCGTTAAACCTTGATATCTGGGATAAATATGCGATCTTTTCTACCCGACGTAATCTTTCGTCTTCCATATCTCTTCGACATAATACATTAAATGGAATCGCAGAGCCTAAGGAAGAACCAGACTGAAGATTTGGAAATGGAAAGGTTTTTCCCAATTTCTCTTATCGGGATACTTGCTACATGGTTTTCGACTGTGTTTCCCGTGTTTGGCAGTACAAAAATTAATGTTTGTACCATTTGCGGGTGCCTTTTCTGTTTCACATTGTGGTAAATGATTGCGCCCGCACTCATTTGCTACAATGAGAAGCAAGGAATTGTAGTATAAAACTACAGGGATAGACGAAGTTGCTACCGTTGCCAATATTGCATGAACTTCAAGGCCAGAGCTTTTACTACATGTAAAATCTTTACACGTGACTTCTGCAAAAATACTTCAATTTCATATAATTTTTTGTAATGCCAATAACATTAAATCTTCCTCTTCCTAATTTGCGTTGCCTCTACCTCCTCAATTACGACATTTTTTCATGAATTCTTACTTTCCTGGGATGGAGTGTACGATCTTTTAGGTCATAAGCAAGGTATTATGAACAATACAATTGTATTTCAGCAAGCACTGTTGTAAAGACCACAAGCCCAAATAACAATTAAAATCCTTAAAACACAATGAACTCATTTAACAATTAATATCACTGCACCAAAAAGCCACATTGTTTTAATATTTCTTATGCAATGCGTGTAAAATGTTAAGTGTAACAGCTAATAAAGTAAACAATACTTATTAGGGATGGTTTTATAAATTTGGCATCTGACAAAAGCTATAATACACAGTAATAATTTTTTGCCTCCATTAAAAGTATTTAGCCTAATTGTTTACATGCAGCAAAAATTATTAATTTAAAATAACATGTTATAATAATGCAGTTTTATTTCTTTTGATATTTAAAGCAAATGCGATGGCTTAAAAGTTAGTTTTCTATAATGATTCTATCACCTCGTTGAAGGTGAATCAATTCAGCTGTCTCAATTGTTCTTAAATTAAACGTACCTAAAATAATCGTAAAATACTTTTAGTTAACTAATTTTCGGTCCACCCTGTATAATTATATACATAGTTTCCTCGCATGGCGATTCAGTTATTGTTTATTTGTTCTTTTAATTAAACACAGAGCAATTCCTGGACACATACGATCATTAAAATTAAACAGTTACTTACTTGGTGAACTGACTTTTGGAACCTCAATATTAGTTCGTCACACAGATATATAAACTACAAATAGAATTTTTAGTGAAGTTTCGTGTTTTTCAATCGCATTGTTTTACATTTTTTATAAAAAACAATGTCGTAACAAGGTATTTAACAACTCACGTTACTGCCATTATTTATTTATGTATCGTTATACAGGTGTAAAAGTCGAAGGTTGGAGTTTTCCGCGTTCATATCCTGTCAACAGATGGAACTGTACCTACCCATGTTATTACGATGAAGATGATACGAGAGAATGTAGGAAATTATGCCTGAAATTAGGAGGATGCAACGGTTATTGTTACTGGTTTGCTTGTTACTGTGTGAACCTGCCTGAAAGTGTTAAACAGATAAAACATCAGGGGATGTTTGGTTGTAGTAATGGTCGTGGGTGGTATGGTAAATGATCTACCACCGTAAAACCCTCATTTTCAAGCAGAAATTCTTCAAAACAGATTCTGCCCCTTATGATAGTAGCACTTCGTCGTCTATTACTGTTACTGTTATTATCTAAAAGAAACTCTTTCTCATTTTACAAATATTTAACCATACATTATATTAATTCAATTGAATAATGTATTGCTTTTAGCTTTTTATGTTATTTTACCCTTAGTGTATATCAATTAGACACATATACACTAGGGCTTATCACACCAATTAATAACCGGTAACTGGTGTGATAAGCCATTATGTATATTTGTCTAATTGATATACACTAAGAGTAAAAAAATAAATAAAATTATATTACTTGTTATAAAGAATATGTATGATGAGCTTGAGTTTTATTTTGTTAAACATTTCGATAATATACTAAATAAAATCTGATATTGTAACTACTAACTTTTCTGTATTATTTTAATGTGTATATATGCATATATATTTATTATAGATACACATATATTTATAAATACTGTACATACCTGCGTATTTATACAACCAAATTTCGATTTATCGCCTTCCTCTAAAGCAAGATTGTCTTTTTACTAACACAAAGTTTAAATGTTCTGCATGTGTGATTCAATACAAAAAAGCAGCTTTAATAAAACTGCATTTATCACTAAATCAAATGATTTTTTTTAAACGCTGAAATACCAAACAATTAGAATTGTATAAAAGTTATCGTTTAAGTACTGCAGTTACAAATATAAAACTTTTTCACTAATTTGTATTAGTGATTTCAATATCAATCCCATATATTGTAATAGTTATAAAGTCTCTCATAACCTCACTTAATGTGGCCTAAACACCACCCACACTAAGTATACAAAAGGAAACAGTTATCATTAAAATTACAAGG